TTTATTTTTTTTTTCGCTTCCAAACTTTATAATTCTTCGGGCAGTAGTTTTAGTCGAATGAGGCAGCTATCAGCACCACGCAGGCCTACTTTGCAACTCTTCACAAAGCGTATTTTGCACATGGGTTAAAGCAGTAGGAGCATCGCTGTGTCAAGTGTATTAAAGTGACAGGAAATCGCCATTTTTCCAAATTTCCATTTTTGTGTAGACTAAGTATTTATCGGGCCACGCTCGTTTACATATTTTTTACATCTATCGTACATATTTATTATACATTTATTTTATCTGCGAACTACTTTTCGACCCATTCAATTTGGTATGCAAAATTATCGCAATAAACAAACACAATGCGCTCATAATAGCTTTCCAGAGGCTGTAGCCAATAGCGAAAGGCCCAGAGTCGAAATATTTTTACGCTTCATTGCCTCATTTTCCGACAAAAACTTCATTCCAAAACGGCTCGTTTGCTTGGCAGCTTTAGTTTTCCTTTGTTTTATTAGTTCAAAAAATTTGTGTGACCCCTAAACTTTCACTAAATTAACAAGCGCATAAAATAAGTGGTGAAGAAAATAAGAGGAAGACAAAAATGTGAAAATATTACGTGAGTTCCCAGTGGCGTACAACAATAATTCCAGCGCATCCGCAGCACCACAACGAAGTACAAGTGCAGCAGTAACCAACCAGCTTCATGTACTACTTCACCTCGTTGGTGTCACGGAATGTCGTAAAATGCTCAGCCTACAATGATTACAGTTAAACCAAAAACACTATCATCAAACAATGGTTTTTGTAGCAGAGGCGCACAGCGCAAACGAATGAGCGAAGGAGGGCGCTTGAGTTTGAACGCTGAAGCCATAAGCGGAATGGCACGACGCCTTATGAAAATTCACTGGCGAAAATTTCACAAGCGCCAGCTGTTACTCTTCTTCTCAGTGGCAGTTTTCTGTTTGCCTCGCTTTGGCTTTTTAAAATGAATCAAGACAATTTGGAATTTTTAAGATGTCGTGTGATGGGAGCTGTGTTATTCATCTCATCATAAAATAAACATTAACTGTTGTTTCTATTCATAAACAGTGAATGGTTTCTCACGATCTTTTAACAACTCTTTATAATCGATATGTACGAAAAAATGCACCCAAAAAGAAATCTATAATCAAAGAGACAATTTTGAGACAGAAGGAAGGAAGGAGAAGGTCCCCAGATTAATAGCTGATAACTCTAACTCTAATGAGAAGAAATTGATGCACTGATCATCCACTCACAGCTCTCTTCAGAAAATTATTCTCTATAACTCTAGATTTTATATACTTATACTTCGCTGTGCCTTTTATTGTGGATTATCAATTTTACCTACTACTCTCTCCTCCTCAAAGCCAGCAGGAAGACCTTCCACTATTTGTCAGTTTTGACTTTGGATCCATGTTTTCTTCCAACAATCTTATTTTACCAATCACATAACTGTGGCTTCTTGAGATCATACTGGTTTCAACTCCGGTCATTTAAGGAATTAGTCGAATATCAAGAATGAACACAAAGACTTTGCAAACAGAATTAACCCAAATTCATTCAAGCTAGTGAAGATAGAAATCGGCTTTTGAATCTCTTGCAAAATTTCTCGCTTCATCGACTATCACTTTTATGCTCCTCCACAAATTTCTTTATGGGTAGCAGCAACCTAAAACCCAGATAGCGTTTTAACTGTCATTTCATTTTATTACTTTTTTGAACTTGATTGAATATTGCGTGTTTTACTGTTGAACACATCAGGTTGAATTACCGCATTTTACGCAAACGTGTTTTTCCAGTTTCATAGGTATAACAATTTGACATTGGATGACTAGCATTATCACATCGCTCAACCGTTAAATTTTCGTTCATTTTCGATTTGTTCATAGGAGTCTGCCGATATTATGTGTCGTATGAAAGCTTTCTTTATTTTTGCAATCAGTAACAATTGTTATTTCATTGATTTTACACCTCAGCGGTTTGTAGTCAGGCTCTACTTGAACAACTTGAACTGAAGCGCGCTAGCGGTACTTTGTATTATTTAAAGACCCTGCAAGACGGATTTATAGACCTTTTTTTGCATGAATAGAATAGCTGTTAGGAAATATTACTTAAAACTAAATGAAGTTCTTTCTCAAGCTGTTCTGAAATAACCAAAATTAAGAAGGAGATAAACAAGAAAGTTTTTGTAAAGAGCATGAACACTACCGATAATAATATCCGGTCTCTTTTCAAATCATAGTGCCACTAGTTTTTATAATAATAAATCTAAGTTTTCGTCTTCTTTGAAAGTCGATTTTGTATGCGATTAATAGAAAAATAGCTGAAGTTTATAGATTTAGACAGAATTTATTTATGAAAATTTTTTTTATGAATTTCTCACTCATTTGTCAAACAAACAGGGATCATATGTGATTTTTATTTGTAAGGCAATAATTCTTTTCTCCGAAAAAATTTTTCTGATCTGATCACTATAGCGTATAGCTGTTATACAAACTGAATGATTGGAATCAAGTGCTTGCATAGAAAACTTTTTCCTTTGACGAGATATCTTCACGAAATTTGACATGCGCTGCTGTCCAAGGCAATAATACAATATTCATAGATTTTATTGAGATCGCATCACTAGAACATAAAGCTCACATATAAACTGAATCATCGGAATCAAGTTCTTATAACGAATCTTTTGTATTTGTTAAAGGTATTATAGCTTCGGTGCAGCCGAAATTAACGTTTTTCTCTTTCAGAAAAATTAGAACACACATTATTTGGAGTATACTTTTATGGCAAATCAGATTAATATTTTATTACTTTTGTTTACGACTTTTGTCCAAAAATAAACTCACGTATACTTGGCGCACTTTAAGGTCAGATTATCGCCAAATTTCAATGGAAAGTTAACTTTAAAAAAAATATGAAACGTGATGAGCTGCCAAAAACGGAGAGAAAAATAAAGTACAACAACTAAATCTCTTTTCAGCTTTCAGCGTACAATTTGTGAATTGTGGGCGACCAAGCAGACAAATTGTGGTAATTATTATGCGTGCAAAATTAGTTTACTACACATTTTGGCCGAGAAATATTTTTTTGTTGTTTTATGTTATTTTTTGTGTTTTAGCAGAAAATATATTTATTTTGAGATGTTTTATCTTTTTTGCTTTCTTTTTTATTTCCTTTTTTTATTGTACCTACTTGTATAAGGTCTTATTTTTTAGCAATTTTTTTCTTGACGCTGTGTGGGTGTTTAGGTATGCTTTTTGCGCTTATTATTTGTTTTTTGTATTTTAATTGTCGCGGCAGTGGCCTGCGATGAAGGTCAAGTCTCATGAGACGTGACATTGAAACGAGGAATATGGCACAGCAGTAATAGTTTCTAGATTTGAATCTGTACCTAAAAGTGCAGTTGTTATTTTTGTTATTTACTTTTTGGCATATTTATTTTTATTTTTATGCATTTATTTGTTTATTGTTTTATAGGCTCGTTACGCAAAATGAGTTGAGTTAGGTTAATTTGTTTATCACTGAACACTTTGTGATGGCTTATATGAACACACAAATGTAACTACTGTCATATTTGGAGGCATAATACCGTTAACTGTAACATTTTGTGATTGTCAAAGTAATTAAATGGCTTAAACAAAAATATATTTAATATGAAAATAGTTTTGGAAAAAAATCTAAAAAAATATAAAACCTGCAAGTAAAGCCGTAAACTCCTCATTCGATGATTTTTGATAAAATAAACAAAAAATTAACATTTACACATATTTTTCTTAATCAGAAAAATTTTAAAATATATTTAATAAATACCCATTATATTATAATAAAAATCAAATTAAACAAAAAAAAAAGTTTTTTTTAGAATAACAAATGGCGTCTCTAAAGTTTGCCAGCTGCCTTCGAGTATATACGCACTTCTCCTATTTTGCTAAGCAAATTCTACTACCGAATAATACCATATACACACATATGACTAAGTCTAAAATTTTGTTAAATATTAGCAATGCGCATAAATTTACATAAACATAGCGCGCATAGTAGACTGAACTACTATAAATACGGTACTGTTTGAATGAATGACTTGGAAATACCAAGACGGGCAAAAAATGCATGAAGTAGGGATAGGAAATAAAAATGTTGTTGTCATATGTAAGTGGAAATATACAAATTATATCAGGGAACCCGCTGTCTGAATTATAATTGAATTTGTGGCACGAGTTGTTGTTTCCGAATTATGCAATAATTTTAAAACTAAAATCCAGTGAGCAATTTCGAAGACAAGCAGTCGGCACAGCTGAATCAACCAAACTGACGAAGCCTCTATATAGAGGCTCGATCTGAATAATAAAATCTGGGATTATAGCGCTGCCTTGAAGAATAGTATATCCGATCAATTTGTATGGCAGCTAGATCCTATAATGGTTCGCTATCAGCGATTTCGACAAACGAGCAGCTCCTTGAGGAGAAAACGGACGTGTGCAAATTTTCAGATAGATATTTCAAAAACTTATGGACTAGTTCACGTGTAGACAGACAGACGGACATGGTTAAATCGGCTAAGCTTGTCACCCTGACAACTTCTACATATAATTTATATGGTTTCCGCCGTTTCCTTCTGGGAATTGCAAACTTTGTGACAAACTTAAAATGCCCTGTTCAGAGTATAAAAAAACACACACACAAAACTAGGGATGTCGACAAGACACAATTTGCTATCTAAAAATCATTTAAGTAAAATATTTAGCTCACTTGCCACACAATACGGAACTTTTGATAATTTATTCAAGTTTTTACTTTTATAACTTCAAAGTAATTGTTTCAAAAATATTTAAAGTTTTCTTCCGAAGAAAGATACGCGTTTCTAAACCCCCTTGCACAGTTGCGCAGCCGTACTAAATAAACAACACTACCAAATACATAAATACATAAATAATGCATATTAGATTACTTTAACTGTAACACACCCGACGACAAAACAAAGTCGACTCACTCACCTTCACCAATTTCAATATCCGCGTCGCTCTGCTGGAATTTGCCCGGTCCGGTGGTGGCGGCCGCCGCTGCCGCCGCCTGATTTGTATCCGATTGTACGCCTCGTACACTGCCATAACCGTAAAAATCGCCGAACAACATCAAGGCTATCGCGGTGAAGATCATGATACGAAAACGCCAAGCGACATCCATATTTGTGCGCGGTGTTGTTTTTGTTGTTGATGGGTTTTTGTGTTGATTTACTAGGTTGAATGTATGCAACGAATTAATTGCACTTACTGCAACAACATACAACAACGCTTTAACTGTCTTGGAATGGAGATTTTTTCACACCAAACACTTTTATGAATTGTTTGCAAATTAAATATAAAAAGAAATTAAAAACTCTTTTGCCTAATTTTCTTTTTACTGTTAATTTTTACTATTGCAATTTTAGGTTAATTGCGGTTTTCCTGCTTCTTCTTCTCTTTTTTTAACAACTTTGCAGAGCGACTGTATGCACTGGGTTTTTAGTGTGCAACACGATCACTCACGTGGTGGGCTAATGAAATCGATGAACCGCTAATTTACATTTATATATGTATATACATTTATATATGTATATATACATGTATTGTACAGACGTTGTGGACTTGTAGGCAACGTAAAAACCTTTCTTTATGGTGTTGTTCTTTTTTGTATGCTTTAAAAATTTAGAAATTTGCACGTTAAGCACCAAAAACGAAAGTTTTATCTATAATAATTTTAATTTTAATTACAAATATCCAATTCACATTTGAAATGTGTTGAAGTTTTATTGTTTAGTGATTTTTATTATGCTTAAATTTGTATTTAATAGAAGATAGTCGAAGAAATCAGCACTTTGAAATAAAAAAAGTTATTTTTTGTAAAATTTGATTTTATTTTATAAAAAATAGTTAAATATTTTTTTTAAATTTTTTAATTAAAAATGCTATTATATTTTTATTTTTTTAATTATTTTCAGTATTTTCCTATACAAATTTCTTTCTGCTCGGAAAATTTTATTTGCAAGTTAATTTTTCACTTTTCTTGATTTATTATATAATATATTATATTATATAAATATTTTTGCTTTTTAATTTAAAATTTTTTTTTCAATATTTTCGTATAAAAATATTTTTTTTACAAAATTTTATTTTCAAGTTTTTTTGTCGTTTCTTTTTCCTATTATTTTAACATATCATTTTACCACTATTTTACTTTAATAATATTTCTTTAATTCTTTTTTAATACAATTCATTTCAATATGTTCGTCGACAAATCTCTTCAAGCACAGCCTGAACGTCCAACAAGCGCGCTGTTAATTTTCAAACTAAACTTAAAATCAGTCAAAACGCTGCATTAAAAGTTGCTGGCGCTGCCATTGCTTGGCGCTGCGTGTTTTTTGGTGGTCCGAGCGTACATATTTTGCGTTAAACAATAATGCAAACAAAAACTTCACGAGATATAGCACAGAGCACATATACATATATGTAAAAAATAATAACTTTTAAAACGACTCAGCGCGCTCAGTGCTCTGGCCAACGTACAGGTGATCAAGCGCGCTTACCAAACAGCTGATTCCATAGCGCTCAGCTGGCTTTAAAATTTGTGTACTTCGCGCTCCCACAAGCATATCAACCACGCGCTCACGCGCACTCTATCGCTCTCTTGCCAGTACTTGTTGAGACTCACTCAATTTACATTCGTGCTTGCCTTCTTGTTCGGCCATTTATGGCCAGTTTATTATATCATCGCCACTTCAACGCCGGCTTCTTGTTACAAGCGACACGGCTAGTAGATTTTCGTACGCCACCATAGAAAATACTTTGTGGTGCAGAGCGCTGCCGGTGTCGTTGGTTACCGGCGTAGGCGCACCATATAAATATTACGCTACCATAAAAAATGGAAAATGATCACCGGCCATATGACAAGACTCACAAAGCGAACTCGCCTTACCTGTCTGCTAGCGGCAAAGCTCGTACTTACTCACATAAATACTTTAACACCTTCTAATGTGAGTGTAAATATGCGCGCTTCTAGCAATTCTTGCACTGCAGTTGGAGAGTTTATACGCTAAGTACGCGACGCGCACAAATAATCGCATACACAAAATGAGAAAAATATACAGTAACTTCAGTTATATAAGGTGGTATATATAGCTTGGCACTGGAAGCTCCAGAAATCGAAAATTTCACTATTCTGAAGACTTGGCAGTCGGAAAACCTGAACACGTATTTTTTTTTTTTTGTTAATAAACCACTTTACGAACTACCCTGTCCTCACCTACATATCTTTAAACAATTTTCAGTGTGCGAATACAGCCCTGCATGCGTATAATCAACGGACGCTGGTTACATTTCCTCACGCATTTGCTCTAGTTACATCTCTTTTTATTTGCGAATGCATTGTTGTTTGGCTTTTCAAAAAACTTCCCATGCTCGATGGTTAGGCAAACACTTTCGGTTAATTTATGCATTTAGCGCGGGATGTTTTAATTTATCTCATTGTTCAAGACGCTTTCCAAGAGAGTGTCTCATTGTTATATTCAAATTAAATAAAAGATAGATCTATAATTGTGCAAAGCCTGAGAATATTTTTCATTGAAAAGTATTTAGGAATTTGGGAAATACGTATGAAAAGTAAGTAAGAATAAATAAAACATAGGAAAAGGGAAACGCATTTAATAAACAGAACAGAATATCCAAAGCTTCAAAGGTTCATGTATCTATCTTAAGACTAGTCCACTAATAGCAGATACCTGGTAGCGCATTTTGAGCATAGACTGTAGATAGAATTTGATATTTTCATTGCTACTAATAACTTTAATTATAACAACCATTCTTGAAATGGAAGAAATAGTCAAGAAATAGTAGACTCGTCTCACGGAATATAAATAATTATAATAATACATTTTAACCGTCGAATCGAGATATGAATGTTATATTTGCAGTTCATACCAAAGGTACAAAATTTATCTTCGAACAACCTTCGTACTTCTAAAAAATCATAAATCTTTCATTTAATTAATGTTATTGTATTTCTCTCAGTGTTTGTAAGGAAATAAAAACTGGGCACACTTTAACGACCGACCGTCAAAATAAGCAAAGCCCTTCACTCGCATCTTCACTTGCCATTTAAATTATATTTATAGAACGCAGAAATTGAAGTGAATGCTACAATCATTTCCAACCAAAATAATTTCAGCAAGAAAATAAGAGAGGTTCTCACAAATCCAGCAAATAAAATAAATGCAAAAAAGAATTTTTTTGAAAGGTGTTTCAGTTGCAGTTGTCTGGGCCATTTAATGTCCACACTGCTAGCATACACGCATGCAGTTCTGGTTGGAGTAGTTGACCTTGTTGCACATAGTACTCGTGCAAAAGGCACGCCACACTCGTACGTGGTGTTATTTGCTGTTATAAGATGCATAATAATTCCGTTGAAATGCAGCGCACCGGTAAATTTGAGCCGGTCATTTTACTGAACTCAATCACCTACTGCTTGAAATACATACTTGTAATTTTTGGGTGGATTTTCTAAGAATATACATTTTTAAGAAAAGTAAAGATTTAGTGTATGCCTGACATTAAAAATGACTTTCCAAACAGGCGGTGTTCCATTATTACTCGTGATATTCTCAAGTATTGCATTCTTTTTTAGCCTTACTTGTAGCATTGAGAGAGCCTTCTGGTTATGCATTTATAATGTTGCAGTTTCGCCGATTTTAACGGTTCTGTGCTTTCTTATCTCTGATTAATTTAACAAAGGTTTTACCAGATTGACCTTTTGATACTCTTAGGAGCCGAATATTGCAGTAGAGCGAAAACATTCCAGCAGAAACTTCTTGGAAAATAGTGCATTGTGTTCCTTAACCGAAAGCATGCAGGCCTCTTTATGGAGGTGTTTAACTGGAGACATCAAAATGCATTCTGCGATCTTATTGGTGCTGTGTAGTTGATGACCGTGACTGAGCAGTCACTTTGAATGACAGCTATACTGATACTTGAGGAGAAGAAACCGTGGGCAATAGTTCAGATCGATAACTCGACTCAGCTCGCCACGGTGATCATTTCTATACATACACTGCATAGAGTGACCGACGTTTCCTTCTGGGAGTTACAAACTTCGTGGCAAACCTAATATACTCGTACCCTGTGCAGAGTTCAAAACGCAGGTATTTCCTCTTCATTCATAAGCGTCTATATGCAACTCACTTTTTTGTTGCTCCATTATGTAAAACTATTTTGAAACTTTCTGTTAATGCCTACGAGGAAATTTACAAATTTTCTCATTTATTTCCACAAATCGTTATCAGCACTAATACTGTGATCTTTTTTTACATAATGGCATACCACATTTTCCTCAGTTTCTTATCTTATATTTGCAAATTAACTCATTTGTCTATACAACAATTTCTCAGCGCCTCTCTTTCTCGCACACGCAAACGCTCCCGGCACTGGCACCTGTATGCTAATGACGCGCCATAAACTCTTTTGTGCGAGCTGTCAGTCAAATAACGGTACATTTAAATACCCGTTAAACCACTGCAATTGCGAATTCTGGTTGCTTTTGCTGTCGTTGTTGTTATTATAGTTGTTTTACCGCACAGGCAGTTAGCCTAACCTAACCAGTCAGACGTTGCAATTTGTACAAACATCGCTGTTGCACTCTTAATTGATTTGTGGTGGCTGTTGTTGTTGTTGCTTTTGTCACAGTCATTGGTAACGTCGCCTTCAGTTTTTTTACTTTGCTGTTTGGTGTTCGCAAACTTGGTCAGCCGCAGAAGCCGGTTTGCTTGAGCAAAGACAATCATTTTTTTGGCGGCATTGCAATTACACTGGGCCGCGTTATGAGCACATAGTATTACAGTTACGAGTGTGTGCCATTTTGTTGTTGGCAACTTTTTTCCACCGCAATACTTTAATTTTTTTTTATGTTTGTTAAAAAAACCTCCAACGATGTGTGAGCAGGAAATTCGCCGCTGCAGCTGTTGGTTTATGGCAACATAAACCTTTGGATTGGGAAACTCCAGAGGCGGCTTGTTTATATATATCTCTTGCCATAATCATATAGAGAAAAGGTTTTGCACAAACATTATGAGAAATATATATAATTAATGCTGCGCCAATTGTTATTGATATTATTTTCCCATGGTAGTTGAGTGTAATTCGAGGTCATGTCTTTGTATGTCGCTTTGAACCCGGCAAAATACCGACGCTGTGCACAAGCTGAGACAAAAACAAGAAAAAACGCCAACTTCCACTGCACCGATTTATTATCCATCATATTTTATATTTATTTATTTTATGATATTTTATCCATCATATAAGAAATATAGCCTGATATTCGGAACCTCTATGGATTTGAGACCATAAAATTAGTTTAAGCTAAAATATTTAATTCCGTGTATGGGAAATGTGGAGAGTGTCAAGAGTTTATAAAATCTTTGGTTTGGCATTTCTACCTTGAGGCATGGGTACAACTAAAGCAATGCCGTACCGTACCGTTTTGAAATCCAAACTTTTCATCGTTGAGCTTAAAAACAGGTTTTGCGTCTGCATATTTTTGATGAGAAACATTTTTCTTCTCAAATCGTTTGAGAGATATCCGTATTCTGTATTTCTTAGCTCCTTACGATATGTCACATATCATAGCTTCATTGTTCTGAAACAATTTTTCGCTTTCGGCTATCGAATTTCTTTCAATATGACGCACGAAAAGAGAAGGAGAGAGAGAATATGGAATGAACTGAATACAGTTAGACATGGAAAAAGGGTCCACTTGTGAATTTGTTCGTTATATCGTTATTGTTTAGCCCGAAGAGCGTACTTTTTCTAAGATTCTATTCTATTTTTGAGCAGGAAGCTCTTCGCTGATCGTCAAAATCCCATTCGTGAAAACCCTACTAGAAACATCAATTCGTTTAAGGCATTATATCCAAATGCAAGTCAGAAGAAACGAGCGTTTTCATATAGGTATATGAGTTAGAACTACACACCGACGCCATGGTATTGGCTACTCACATAACTGCTAAGATATCGCAACATTCACGCTCGCTCATTTAAACTACATAGTTACTTCAAATTAGCTGTTTGTTAAAATACATTTTTTTTAATATTCTTGTATCTACATTATTCCACCTACAGATGTTCACACAATAATATACTTCACATGTTGCAACAGTACGTTGCATTCAACATTCCGTAATTAAATGCAACCGAATTAAAATAATCCCCCGTTACTTCAAAATGTCAATTCGTAGAGGTTGGGAAAGGAGTGGCCAACAAATTGACACACCCTTTAAATGCACAACGGTATTGTTTAGTTTAATTACATAACACAAAAATCGTAAACACACATAAACACACATACTTGTCTATAATAGCAATATTAAGTGTAAATGAAGGAACAGTGGAAATCATTTAAGCGCAACAATGACAACAACAAAAGCGTAAATGTTGCACAACTAATGACAGCAACAACAACTACAGCATGCAAACATAAATTCAAATTAGGCATCGATTTTAGGCGGGGAACCCCGTTAAGTGAGGCCTGAACATCAACGTCACGCCCATTACCGAACCCAACGGGCATATCACTTTTAATTTCCGTAGGTGTCACATGACAGACCCTAAGGTACACAGCTTGTAATTGTCATTTTGCATAAATGGTACAACATATGTATGTATGTATGTGAATGTATATATGTATATGTGTCTTTTGTACGAACAGGCATTTGACAATCGCACAGCAATCATACGCCCCGGTGTTCTTACCACACATCGCACAGGTATATGTATGTGTGTCCGTCAAAGTATCGGTGTATGTGTGCGTGTGTAATTAGTATCTTGTAAATTACAATGCTTGTGCAAATATTTGCGACACCTGATAATTTTCACAATTTCATGGCATTGCTTACACGCCCACTGCAACTTATAAACACCTCCACACACATACAGCCACATATACAATTGCAACTCATATCCCTGCCGCTGTTGCTTGTGTTGCAAATGTCTTGCAGCGTCTTGTCGTGCAAATGAGCGACAACAATAAATACTGTTGTCCGTTGTTTGAGGTCTATTGTGCAGCCATCAAAGTGGAAAGTTATAATTATCATTATTATAAATTTGTATACATTATTAAGCACACACACACAAATCCACGCAGATATTATTAAGTATATGCTATATGTGACTGTCAGTGTGTGCTTATGTATACTGTGTGCCTGTGTCTTATTCTGTTAAAACTATGTGTATAGGTTAAATTAACAAAGTTATCGCTGCACAGTAGGGTATTTTGATAAAATTTCAAAGAAATATTTTAAATTTCGTACAAACAAAATATTTGAGGGGCTTTATCAACTTGTGAATTTTAAAAAAAAAGTATATATCGAATATACATTTATTTTTGAACATTCTCGGAAAATTTGAAGTTGATCTGGCAAATAGTTCCGGAGATATGAGCGTATTTGCAAGATTTTTTTAACTTAGTGCAACCAGATCCCAAAACTTGAAACTTTTTTTCTTTCTCTGAAACGCTGTTGTCAGAGTGGATGAAGAAAATTGATCGGAAGCGGCTGGACCAATTCACTTAAAATTTTTATACAACCTCCTTGACCGAATTTCCAGGTATGATCGAAGGAATATTTTTTTCGATAATAATTTCGATTTTTTAAACCACTATATAGTTTAATTTTTCACTAAAAATACTTTTTCAAGTTCGCCGTATCTGTCAGTCTGTCAGACAACATGAAAAAAGCATAAAGCTATCTAGGAGTATTCCGATTCCGAGATAGGCTTTCTAACACAGGAATTGTAGAAAAATACTGTCGGTTTTCGTCATTCACCTCAACTAGCTTTGTATAGCACTATTCGATTCACCGTTTCTTTGCTCGCTATTTTAAATTATTGGTCTCTTGTCTAAAAGTTACAACAACAAAGTGAGCAAGTTAAATCTTTTATAACGTGTACGATTTGCTATTCTCTAACGACATCTTATGTATCTTTTTTATAGAGATTTGGTCATTCTTTGCCAGTCGTTCTACATGTCCTTAGCCCGAGCCTTCTCTTAAATCATTTCCCCGGAGAAACAATCCCAAAAATTTCAGTTTTAAACTTCCTAACATTATACTAATATACGGACTTTAAACATTCCTCTACTCGGTAGCCATCACATTAAGAAGAAAATTTTAAATACTGCAAATATTCAAATCTTTAAGGTTTCGATTCCTTCCAGCAGCTTAACGCATGCTGTGTTGATGGCGCAATTACTTTAAAATTACGGCATTAAAATAAAATATAAGTGCATGTGCACTTAGCATAAACTGCATTATCGACAGAGCTCAGCATGCGTACGCGCCGAGCATATCACACAATTAAGCTGGACGACGAACAATACGAGTAGGTGCAAAGCAAATGACTGCACTGACTACAACCACACATATGTGCATATGTTTATATGCATATACTACTGATCATAACCATATACATATGCAAATCCGCTTTTCCTACACTTAAAAAGTCAGTCACACACATACGCACAGTGCATTTGCTGAAAATTTACGTTGCATACCTTCCGGCGCGCAAGCAGCAAAATGTGCAATGCAACTCTGCATGTGCCAATTAACATTTTTCGTATAGCGAATTCCCTGCGCACTCGTTGCACATGCACTGGTGTGTTGTGACCACAACGAAAACCACAACTTTAATATGCGAAAATTGACAGTGAAATTGGCAGCGTTGTGAAGTAATGGAGCTCATATGCACACACGCATGCATACGCGTTTCTATATTGCACATATTGCATTATACACCAAAATGCACATGCAAATATGCGTGGGTTAACTAAAAGCCCAAGAGCTGTCCCCCATTTTATGAGGCCACTCGCTTTCAGCGCTTTTGCTGCTGCGATATTTTACCCGCTGACAAACATTAAAATTAAAATGGAACGCAGCGAGTGCATAGTGGAGTATGCCCTCTTGGAAACACATAACTTATAGCAGAAAAGTGGCACGCTTTTAGCGGCAAATATCATTTGAAATATACACAGGTGTATATATAATATTATATATAAGAAATCGAGGGCCCTTGAAGTTTGAATTCTTTAAATTCTGTCGAGATTTAAACCCACAAACTTCCTGATGAAGTTCGCACCCTAAAACTGCAATACTTGAATTTACAGGATCCATAAATCGTGAAGCCACGAAAATAATATCACAATCCTTCTCAGAGCTGCACGATTCTTACTTGAACTCTACAGAAAATCGCTTGTCGTCACACATAACACCAAGCCCAGATTTTGGCAGCCGTGTTGTACCCCAGAATATCTTAAAGGACTTCCAGATCCTGAAAGAATTAGATTGCCGAAATAATAATCCTTTTACCGGAGCAAATGAGGGTCAACTGGTATGATAGAGTCGGCTGTCGTCGGTATCGTCCTTGAAACACGTGACAGATCTCAAGATTCATATTAGTGATGATTTCCAGGAAGAAAATGAGTTGTGCAGATTGAATAGGTAGTGTCTTATGATAATTTTTAGAGCTAAACTAAACTAAGTCATCGGAATTCAACAATCACTTGGTGCCAGCTCAGAACTATAAGGTGGAGGTATATGCATCTCCAACCAAGCTCCCGTAGCTTCTGGCAAATCGCTAACGATATGCGTGGCCTGGCGTAGTCCTGATGGAACGCAATTCTCCTCCTATTACTCACACACTACTGAAGTTGCCACACACTGAAGCATATATTATTTGGAACTATTAGTATACTGGAATTTTTTGAAAGTAGCAATTAGAAGGTTAGTTAGAATAAGTAAACTATATTGGTTGAAACTCTAAATAATAGTTCATTACCATGGTCTTAATGACATAAATTTCCTACTGGTATAAATTTATATACATATTTAAGTGTGTCTCTATGTACTTCTATATATAAATTCGTGTATGACAATTCGACACATAACCGTAACTTTAAATTAAAATTTTAATGTAGGTGAGTGTGTTGGCAAAAGCATTTTAACTTTACTATTGTGACCATGAGTTACAAAAACAAGTGTTAATATGTGTCGTTGTTGTTTTTGTTGTTAGTATTGTAATATGTTGCATACAAAATGCAATGGCAAATATTAAAATTAATGCAAATATGCCAGCTGACGCGCGCATTTACACATATACTATATATACTAAGTATGTAGAAACGTAGTGAATGCTACCCAAAATGTACTCGTATATACATATGTATAGGTTATATACTTGTATGTTACATACATATGAATATGTTACATTTGTATATTTCATTTGCATACGCATTTGTTGCATTCCCTACATTTGTGACACTTTTGGCAATCGTTGGCCCGCAACTTATTGTCGCTACTTTACTTTGGCTGTTACTGACACATACACATACATACTCTTATAGCTAGTTCAATAAACTGGAACAGCCAACGCATTGCAGCCCACCTTTCACCATTACCACACTAACACATACAGTCGTATGTGTATATATATATACATATTTCGGTGTTTTTAGTTGCTTTTACTTGCTATTTTATGTTTTACAGTATGTTGTTGTTATTGCATTGCTGCTGTAATGCATTTCATTTTG